TCCCGACACCCGTCGGAACTTCCGACAGTCGAAAGTCCCGATTTGGGTCGAAACTCCCGACAACGAGACATCTTTTCGAGGGCATAACTTCTTCATCCGGACTTCGAATTAGATGTTCCATATATGTTTTTGACCATCTTGACGAGAGGAACGCAATGGTGAAGTCCGTTTCACATTTTAACAACTTCATAAAAATAAACATTTTTGGTTGTCAACATATGCCCCCTGTTTTTAGGTGAATGATGCATAAACCTGAAAACACTTAATTAAATAAATTAAAACCAAACAGCGACGATTCCCATCTCATCGGCTACTCAGTGGCTAAGGGAGATGTGTACATCGGCCATTTTTTCTAAGGGCGATACATGTATCGGCCATTGTTTGGTGAGCACTTAGGCTTCTTGCCAAACACTTGGAAAGTACCTTTTCAAGTACCTCCCATTCAATGCTCTCATGAGACGTTCACCTTGCATTGTCTCGAGCACATATGAATTTCCAAATATAACTTTAACCACTTTGTAAGGACCTTCCCAATTTGGTGACCACTTGCCAAACTGATTGCTCTTCGATCCAATTAGTAGTATGGTTTTCCACACCAATTCTCCCACTTGAAAGGATTTGCTCCTGACTTTATTGTTGTATGCTTTGGCAACTCGAGCTTTATCTTTCTCTATTTCCTTGAGAGCTTTTAATCTCACATCAGTCACCTCATCGATATTATCCATCATCAAATCATGATACACAACAGCTGATAAATCATTTTGTTTAGCAAGCCTGTATGCATCCAAATTCACTTCGATAGGCAACACGGCCTCTTGGCCATATACTAACTCAAAAGGAGTAACCTTTGTAGCACCATGCCTTGAAATGCGATGTGCCCATAGAGCCTTAGACAAAACTTCATGCCACCTCCTTGAATTCTCCTCAATTTTCCTTTTGATGAGCTTGATCAAAGTCTTATTACTAGACTCAGCTTGGCCATTGGCTTGAGCATAGTATGGAGATGAATTGAGCAACTTGATCTTATAGAATTCAACAAATTCCCTCACCTCTTTAGACACAAACGATGTCCCTTGATCTGTAGTTAATGTTTGAGGGATGCCGAATCTATGAATAATATGCTCAGTGATGAACTCAATTACTTCCTTGTGTGTCATATTCTTCAAAGGAACTCCCTCGATCCACTTAGTAAAGTAATCCGTAGCAACTAACACAAATATGTGTCCCTTTGAAGATGGGGGATATATTTGGCCAATGAAGTCTAACCCCCAACCATGAAAAGGCCATTGATTGATGATAGGATGAAGCATAGCAGTAGGTACAAGCTGAATATTTCCAAACTTCTGGCACTTTTCGCAACCTTTGTAGTAGCGAAAACAATCGGCCATCATAGTAGGCCAATAGAAACCAGCTCTACGCAATAACCACTTCATCTTTAGGGCCGATTGATGCGTACCACAGATGCCTTCATGGACTTCTCCCATAGCCACTCTTGCCTGATCTGATCCCAAGCACTTAAGCAGTAAATCTTCGGCGGTTCTTCGATAGAGCTCATCATTATACAATACATATTTGAAAGCGCTCCACCGAACACTTTTATCTATTTTGGCACTTGGATCACGTAGATATCTCAACAAGGGAGTCCTCCAATCTTCTAAATCGGCCCCAACATCATTGGAAGTTATATCGGGCCGATTTGATAGCTTCTCGGGCGAATTGACCGGGCTAGTCATAGGGGAGTCGGCTGAGCCAACAGGGCCGGTAGGCTTAGCCGATTTGGAGGTGTCGGCTTGGACGACTAGGGTAGTCGGCTTAGCCGACTTGGCCACATCAGAAGAGTAGTCGGCTGAGCCGACTTGGTCAGTTGGCTTAGCCGACTGGTCTGTACCTACACAGGAAAAATTGAAATCTTCATGCATCGGCTGTTCTTGAATATGGAAATTATATCCACTGACATCATAGCCAGATGCTTGTTGAGCTAACATATTGGCCTTTTGATTTTCATGCCTCAGAATATGCCAAATTTGAAATTCGGCAAAATAATCAATAACATCAAGGCAAGCATCAAGACAAGCTCTTAGTGATCCTTCTAAACATTGAAATTCACCAGCAACTTGTTGTACTACCAGCAAAGAATCACCATAACCTTCAACATGTTTTACTTCCATAGACCGCAACATGATCAACCTAAATAATAGAGCTTCATATTCGGTTTGATTGTTGGTACAAGAAAAATCTAATCGGCTTGACATTCCAATTTCAGCACCATTAGGAGAAATAAGAATAATACCAACACCTTGGCCATCTTTACAAACCGATCCATCAAAGTATAATTTTCATGGAGTAAAAGTAAGGTAATTGACTTCATCATCTAAATCAATACCATGCTCAACAATAAAATCAGCAAGAACTTGACCTCTTAATGTTTTCAATGGTTCAAAAGTCAAGTCATATTCTATTAGTGCGTATGCCCATTTGCCTATCCTTCCATGAAGAATTGGCCGATATAACATGTGCTTTATCACATCGGCCTGGCAAGCAACAACACATGTACTAGACAAAAGATAATGTATCATCTTAGCACAAGCATAGTACAGTGATAAGCATAATTTTTCTATATGGGCATACCTTGTCTCGGGATCAAAAAGACGGCGACCAAGATAAGCAATCACATATTCTTTACCTTCATCTTCTTAAGTCAAAACAACCCCGATTACCTTCTCTTCGGCAGCAATATATAACTTGAAAGGAACTCCTCTCCTAGGTGCACGAAGAACCGGTGGTGTTGACAAATATTCCTTTATCTTTCGAATGCCTCTTGTTGTTTTGCCCCCCAAGTGAACTCAGATTCATCCTTCAGCTTCAATATAGGAGTGAAAGGAATAATTTTCCCGAACAAGTTAGCAATAAATCTCCTCAAGTAGTTCACTTTTCCCAAGAACTTTTGCAAGTCCTTGCACGTAGGTGCCTGAACTTTCTTGATCTTCTCTATCCTCTTGGGATCAACCTATATGCCCTTATCATGAATTATGAAGCCTAAAAACTTTCCAGCCGATACTCCAAAAGCATATTTGAGTGGGTTCATCTTCAATCCATAGCGGCACATCCTCTCAAAAGCAAGACGCAAATTGGCCAAATGAGATTTATGGGCGGCCGATTTGATCTCAATATCATCAATGTACACCTCCATAATCACCCCAATTAAATCATGGAAAATCAAATTCATAGCTCTTTGATAAGTAGCACATGCATTCTTCAGCCCAAATGTCATCACAACCCACTCAAAAAGACCAACAAACCCAGGACATATGAAGGCCGTCTTAGACATATCTTCCTCGGCCATGAAAATCTGATTATAACCAGCATTACCAACAAGAAAGCTAATAACCCGATGTCCTGACGCATCATTGATAAGCATATCGGCTATAGGCATAGGATACTCATCTTTCGGAGTAGCTCTATTCAGATCTCTAAATCAATACATACTCTGATCTTCCCAGAATTCTTCTTCTCAACAGGCACAATATTAGAGACCCACTCCGCATACCTACGTGGCTAGATAAACCCCGCTTGCAACAGCCAATTAATCTCTTCTTTAATCCTATCATAAATTATAGAATTAAATCGATAGGGTTTTTGCTTGAAAGGCCTGAATCCTTTCTTAATAGGGAGCCGATGCTCAACAAGCTCTCGGCTCAATCCAAGCATCTCTGTATAATCCCATGCAAAACAATCAACATATTCCTTGAGAAGCGCGATTAACTCAACTTTGTAATCGGCTTCCAAATTTTGATTAATAAACATTGGCCGGGGCACAGAGCCATCCCCAATATCAACTTGTTCCAAAGGGTCGGCCAATGTAAAACCTTGGCCCAACTTATCGAGCTCATCAAAATCATCAATAGCCTCACAGGCATCGGTCTTATTAGCCCCATACTGTTCAACACGATGTTTTAACCATTTAACGTTAGCATCCATTATAATAATGATTACATGATGATATTGAGCCGATTATCAATCGGCTTCAAGGACACAGGAACAAAACCTTGCCTGGTAACACTAATAAATTCAAAACTAGAAAGATCTCTACCAGATAAGCAAGCAATAGCATCATGCCCCCCGAGTGTAGGAGCATCGGCTGCAGCAACATCAGCCGATGAATCTGAATGCACGACCTCAACATCATCTCCCACCCATTGGATGAGAAATTGGTGCAAGCTAGATGGCACGCAACGATTGGCATGGATCCAATCACGCCCAAGTATCAAGTTATAGCTACCTTGCACGTCGGCGATGAAGAACGTCGTGGCCAAAGTCTTGCTTCCAATGGTGAGCTCCATGTTAGCAACTCCTCTGGCCGGAATAGGAGCACCTCCTCCGACACCGCTGATCGTCATGTTGATCTTGATCAGCTCCTTATCAGTGCCACCGAGCTTCTTGTAAAGCGGATACGGCATCAAGTTCACTATCGCCCCACTGTCCACTAACATGCTATGGACCGATGTGCCATTGATATGGTCCTTCACATGTAGAGGCTTGAGATGGTTGATGGAGTCATCTGGTTTCTGAAATACAACGCTTTCCGTTGAAAAATTAAATTTTGCCGCCGTGGAGTCATCTGCCATGATGTAGTAATCAGTAGATAAAACAACAACATTGACCTCCACTCTCTATGGAGTAGGCTCATAGTCAACCATCTCCTCGTCAGGAACCTCAGGAACCTCCATGCCAACCAAAGCAGCAACAGTAGTAGCAAAATCATTAGAGGACACCTTAGAGGCACCTGGGACAACAGGAGTCAGCTCAGCTGACTCGAAAGTCGACTTAGCTGACTCTGGAGCTTCCGAAGCAGTAAGGGTAGGCAAAGTCAGCTCAGCCGACTCAGGAGTCGGCTTAGCTGACTGGCTCAACACAGGAGTCCGCTTAGCTGAATCTAGAGTTGACTTAGCCGACTGGCCAGCAGCAGTAGCAGCGTTTTGACCTTCCAGAGGGATTTTGACCTATACGGGGTTGAGGATTTCATTCTCCATCTTGGCAAGCTTCTCCCTCTTCTGTTGCTTATGTCGACCACGCTGCAATTTGCGCCGTTGAGTTTTATTCAACCCACGAGGACACCATACGGGTTGCCGGTAATTGGAATCTCCTTCAGCGCGTTTCTTCTCTTCAACTCCAAAAACATCTTTAGGAGCTTCATCTCGCTTAGATGCTGGAATTTCTTCGATTACAATCAGCCCATCATGATTAGTGACGGGAGCTTCCATGGAGTGGATTGTGATAACCGATTGAGGCCTACCTCTTGGTGGGGGAACGATAGGAATCTCAACCTTCTTAGGCACATAAACTTGCTGCATTGGTGCCTTTCCCGACTCTTCTGGAGTCAAAGTCCTAGAGGTAATCACACGATCTTGACTTGTACCGCTAGAGCTCGATTGACAATTGTTCAATCGGCTAAAGACGGAGGGTCTTGGAATTGAACCAATAGGATCTCCCCACCTTTGTTGGCTATGCACGGGTGCTGCCGGAGGATACGGCACCCAAACTCCATAAGGACCCCATTGCGGTGTAACCAGAGGTAGAATCGGGGGACCCCAGCGAGAAACCGAGGAACAACTCTATGAGATGGAGCTGTTGGTTGCACCACCGCCAATTGCTTGATCTTGTCATCTTCCCGCTTAGGCGGAGTAGACTCTCTTTTTTTAAACGGCTGATTCTGGGAATTGGCCTTTTTGTTGATTATACATGGCCATGAGCCTGTCAAAGGTGCATTGCTTCTTCATGAACTCTCCCTGATTCTTCTTCTCATTTGTCCTCTAGGTGCCAATCTCTGGTCACTGTGGAACAAATGTACGCAAAACACGAACACCGGAGACGCTGGAGCTATTGGAACCAGGAGAGTCGGCTAAGCTGACTAGCGTAGTCGGCTCAGCTGACTTGGCTGAGGTGGTGGTAGAGTTAGCTAAGCCAACTCCTTGAGTCGGTTGAGCCAACTGGCCCTGCTGTGTACTAGAGTCATCTTGGCCAACTGGTGGAGTCGGCCTCGCTGGCCTCTGCTGTGCCACAGTCGTTTCATACCACCGCTGCCTTTTCAAATATTGCGTTGATCCAGCGGTGATCTTCAACTTGTTCTTGCCTTCATCATCCTTCTCAAGCACCACTTTGCGCCCCGAATTCGTTTCAACATTCGGTGCTACACGTGGTTCGCCGATAATCACGTTCTTGCCTTGGGCTTTATCGGCTTGCTCTGAATGAATCAAAACAGCGGGCGCCCCTGCTTCAACATGTGCATGGGAAAAGGGGTCTTGTCAACTTGCATTTCAGTAAGACTCAATCGTCCCTCATTAAGGGCCGATTGGACCTGTCGATGAAAAACATTGCAATCATTAGTGGCATGAGAAAAAGAATTATGATATTTGCAATAAGTCCTCTTTAACTCATCAGCTGAAGGTAATGTATAATTGATTCTAATATAACCGAATTTCAACAATTCATCAAAGATTCGGTCACATTTAAAGAAATCAAAAGTAAATTTCATTTCCTCATTCCGATTTTTATGAATCAGCTTGAGAGAAGGACAAGTAATCAATTTATTCTCTACTGGCCATTTAATTTCGGTAGCTAAACATTCTTTATTGTCATCGTCAGAATCATGAGAATAATCACCAACAAAATGCACATTCTGACGATGAGATTTATAAGCATCACAAGACTCTTTAAGGCGCGATTCAATTGAAACAACCTTTTGCATAAGTTGATTAACATTGTGAAACTCATAATGCTCAAGCTTTTCTCTAATACTAGAACGTAAACCAGCAAAGCATAAATCAGTTAAATCTCTTTCAGAAATATTTAAATGGAAACATCGGTTCTTAATCTCTCTAAATCGTTTGAAAAAATCATGGACGGACTCATCACACCCTTGATGAACCGATGCAAGATGAGACAATCTTGTTTCATGAGCACCGCTATAAAAGTGATTATGAAATTTCTCTTCTAATTCAGCCCATGAACCAATAGAACAAGATGGTAATAAAGTAAACCATGCAAAAGCTGTGCCAGTAAGAGATAAAGGAAAATTATGAACTTTCATAAAACCATAAGCACTAGCTTCACCCAATTGTGCAAGAAACATGCTAATATGCTCCATGGTTGATTTACTATCATCACCACTAAATTTCTGAAAGTCAGGTACCCTCCACCCATCAGGTGCTTTCATGAAATCATAACCAGAAGGATACAACATTTGATAAGTATTCCTACTAGATTTAAGTTGCACTCCTAAACTACTCTCAAGAGATTTAGCCAATTCATCCTTAAACCGATTCAAAGCATCATCAAAATCGGTAGTAGGAGCATTAGGAGTAACATTAAATGTAGGAATTTGACTAGGTGACTTTGGTAGGTTTGGTAAAACATTATGCCCCGCTGAAGCTCTATTTGTTGATGCTCCATAATCGGTTCGAAGAGCTCGACCCAAACTTTGTGCACCAACACTTGTGTAGATGTGCTAGCACCAAGTTGACCGGCCTTATCGGTTTCAGATGCTGAAGGGGCCGATTGAAATTGGCTAGCGGAAGCATGAGAGGTTTGATTTTCATAAAAATTCAAAGTCATGCCGAACTGAGGTTGCTGCATGGCACCCGATTGATCACAATCGGTCGTCTTGCCCTCTAACTTATCCATACGTGCTTGAAGTAGATTAGAAAGATGCTGAAGGTTATTACTATGCAATTTTCTTTCATCTATCAATATCTGAGCAAAATTGGCATGAGTAGGATAAGCATTAGTATTTACCTCCTCGTCATACTTAGCTTTTTCGTTGCCCTTCTCCTCGGCGCCTGAAGATTTAGAAGCAGTAGCATCGCCATAGGACGGTTCACGGAACTAAGTGACCTTGTCGAGCCAATTCTTGGTGTAGCGCTCCAAGAAAGCCTTGACATCGGCATCAAGTTTGGCCTGAAGCTTCTGGCGCAACTCATCTAGAAGCTCGTCCATGGATTGAGGAAAGATCATGTTAGCCTCATTGAAGGGGTTGGTCTTGTCACCCTTGTCGGTGGTAGCACCATCGTTGCCTCCCATGTTGCTAGTAGATTGATTCTTGATTCGCTTCGCTTTCCACAGCGGAGTCGCCAAAAAGTATGTTGACGTTGAGGATGACCCCAAACCAACACACCAGTAGAGCCTTAGACCCCAAAGAGGTTGCACACAACTTGCAACGCAGCAAGAACATGGCGTAATTGATCAAACCAATCTAAAGACCGATGAGACCGATGTAGAGCCTGTTCTTGGCCGAAAAAGCTCCCAAACTTCTCCCGGGAATACCCGTCAGGGAGGAGCACGTGGAGGATCTCCTAGGACCAGCAAGACCGCCTAGGATGCCGCTGAATCTCGTCGGGAAACTCAATGAACAGCAAAAGGGGTTGAGAGAGGGGAATTAGGGCATAAGGAGTTGATAGATTGGTTTGTGTGATGATTGGATAGACGGGAACTCAATCGGCTATGATCCTCTCATATATATAGAGGGGTGGTCTTATCCCAGTAGGACACCTCTCCAAGCCTTATTTTTCAAGTTTCCCACGAGTTTGGAACAGTTCGGATCAGAATCCAAAAGGCCAGATCCGAACATGATTTTCTGTTAGGTATGTCGGAAGTCCCGACTTGAGTAGGAACTCCCGACAGTCAGAACTTCCGACTTTTGTTGGAACTCCCGACGTAGGGATAACACCAGACACCCGAGCAGATTTCTTCAGGCCTCCTGGAAGTCTCGACACCCGTTGGAACTTTTGATAGTCGAAAGTCCTGACTTGGGTCGGAACTCTCGACGTAGGGATAACCCTAGACACCTGAGCAGAATTCTTCAGGCTTCCCGGAAGTCCCGACACCCGTCGGAACTTCCGATAGTCGGAAGTCCCGACTTAGGTCGAAACTCCCGACAACGAGGCATCTTTTGAGGGCATAACTTCTTCATCCAGACTTCGAATTAGACGTTCCATATATGTTTTTTGACCGTCTCGATGAGAGGAACGTAATGGTGAAGTCTGTTTCATATTTTAACAACTTCACAAAAATAAACATTTTTGGTTGTCAAAAACAGGATGTGGAAAATGAATTTTCCATTCTTGATCCTCGCATAAACGCTATCGTCCTTCTTATTTTTTTTAAAACACAAACTTTCTTATCATTTCATCAACTTTAATTACTACTGTCTAGAGACTTACTTTTAACCAATAAATGAATTTCTACAGGCGGCATCCCATATGTTCATTTCTTCCATGACAAAACCTTTTGGGTTACGCCATGTAAACGTTTTCATATAAATCTCCATTGAGGAATGTCGTCTTTACATCTATCTGATGTAACTCTAAATCATAATGTGCCATTAACACCATTATGATTTTAAAAGAATCCTTACATAAGATTGGAGAGAAAACACTCATTGTAATCTATAATTCTCTTTGGTTAAAGCATATTGCCACAAGTCATGCTTTATATCTTTCTACATTTCCTTTGGAGTCATATTTTGTCTTGTAGACCCATTAACAGCCTACTGTTTTAGCTCCATTAGGAATTACTTCTAAGTCCCAAACATCGTTGGTACTCATCGAATTCATTTCAACTTTCATAGCTTCTTGCCATTTAAACGAGTAAACAATTCTCATGGCTTCTTCAAATAAGGTGTGATCACCCTTCATTTGAATTTATTTACTAACATAGACTTTATAGTCATCAGAAAACAGGTTTATCAATTCTTTGAGACCTTCCGGGGCCTCAGCTACTGGCACTTTCATATGGGGCTATTGTTGCTCTTCATTGCCAAGAGACAATTGATTCTACAGGCTCCTGTATAACAAGATCATTATTCACATTATTCATCTTCTTCGAAGAGCTAACAACATGTGTTGTATTGGTCATACAACATCAACAGGTATTGAGAAACTTGTTGCTCCTGAGTCACTGGAGTGGGCACACAGTCCCTCTTCTCTTTAAGTCTTAGGTCTCTACATACCTCTATATACCATGCTCCCTCAGATCTTCTCATCTTTTCTAAAGATAGTGTATCTTCAAATATCTTATTTTGGGTTTAATCTGTTAAAATCTTATATGGCGCTTTAAGCATCACCTTAACATATTTAAGACTGACTACGCTATTTTCCTGTCGGGACTTTAAAAATTTAGGAATTTAGCTATTTCTCTGCTTAGGGGTATCATTGTTGTAACCGTTGTACTCCTCCGAAGGTTATATTCATCTTAATTAATCTTTATCTCACTCTTAATGAAGAGTATCTTAATTGATCTTTATATTTTCTCTCCCTCGAAATATGGCATGAACTTTACTATCATAATTTTGATAACTATTCAGAAAGCCTATAAACGAGGAGACACTTATAACTTACTTCATTCAAACAAGTGGTTCCATACTAGAAGATTCTTTCAAATGGTATTCACTTCCTACAAGTGGTATCTATACATAATATAAATCATGCAAGATGATGGTTCCACAAGTGATCCTCAACTTTAAGTGATCATCAAATGAAGAATGCATCCCTCACCTACAAGAGCTTAAGTGAAATAAAATGGATGACCCATACATAGAATGATAAGATACATGTAATACAAGTTACAAGTTCTAAATGGTATCTACTTGTGGTGTCATTCCGATATTCAAGTAATGTCCATAAAAAATGCAAGTCTCAACCATCTACCCCAAAGAGTATACCTTTGCATCAATAAGAAGCATACCTTTTATGGAAATTGATGACAAAGGGGGAGAGATTGTACAAATATATGAAAGCTTGATTGAATGGGGGAGAAATTGGACATGGAGAGATGATATATAAAAGAAATAGAGGTTGGACATGGACAAAGAGGGAGCAACATTGAAGAAAAGAGATGGATCAAAATTCTTGGACAAGAGAAGCACACAAGTAGGGGGAGCAAGCTCATAAACTTTGATTGATTGCATTTGATATGTGCATAATCATGTGCTTGCTTGCATTGCATAAGTTTTCAAATTCAATATGCATGCTTGTGTGGTGTATGCTAGTTATAGAACTTGAATGATGATTTGCTAACTAGCATGCATAGGATGATAGCTAGACACTTGGTATATTCTTTAAGTAATGCTAGTACCTTGATTTTAATGTTGATCTCATGAGGTATCTAGTGCTTTTATTTCCAAGTGATATCTAGCTAACCATGGTGCTAAGGATGAACTTAAAGGTGCAACTACGATTGGTACACGCTTCAAAGGTTTATTCTATACACCTTAGCATCATTTTGTAGTATTTACTCTCCCACAATTTCAATCTATGCATATGTGCAAGCTTCAAATTAAATACACTAGCACATATGTAGGGGAGCTAATACTACCATTTCGGGGTTTGTGGTACTTGTCCAAAATCATTTTCACATGGTAAAATTGCTTGGGCAAGCAACATGAATCAAAAGAGCTTAATTTCCATATCTTTGTAGAGTTGTCATCAATAACCAAAAAGGGGAGATTGAAAGGTCCTTGTTGGTTTTGGTAATTGAGTGACAACCTAGGTGGACTAATTGTGTTTATGTGAGATACACGGTGATTAGTCCACGGTACATGTGTATGAGCAACATATGCCATGGAGGTGAAAATGGCTTGGAGATGTTGCAAAGCTCACACATGTGATGATGAAGGAGCTTATTGCACATGAGACATGACATTGAGTCATGTGATCAAGGTGGAGAAGATCAAGACAAGACTTGGCTTGATGGACCGGTTGCAAGCGTGAAGGGCAAGTCAAAGGCTTTGGAGTGATGGACTGCGTGGCGGTGAAGCTTGAGCAAGACTTGGCGCCAATGGACGATAGCAACGGTGAAGAGCAAGTAGAGTCAAGATCGATGAACCAATATGATCATGTGATGATATGAAGTGGATCATATCATTATTGATCGTGTTGGTGCATGTGTTGCATCGATATTGAAGGAGATGGAATGGAATGCGCAAGGCAAAGGTATAACCTAGGGCATTTCATTTCACCGGTCATAGGTGTGTAGAGAAGTTTATGACCGGGTTTAGGATAGATGGCCGTACTATCAAGAGGAGCAAACTTGTTTGCATATCGGTCATCTAGTGCCACGAAAGTGATCTAACTTTGCATTGTTGCTAGGATCGAGTGGCGTGGCAAGTTGAGTGGCTAACATCCTTTGGGGAATGATTGTGAAAATGCTAACACACATACACATGGTGGTGTACACTTGGTGGTGTTGGCACATTTACAAAGGAGGTGGTGTTTGCAGGGGTGAGATGGGTTTGGGTCCCTCTCTCCCTCCCGCCGAAGCTTGCGAGGCGGGATTCGGCGCTTTCGAGGAAAATAGAATGCCTATTTTCTATTGCGCGGATGCAAGTTCTTGTGGTTAGCACATTGGAGCAAGGGTGATGAAGTTAGAAGTGAAAACGAAGTTAGTCACGAAGATCTTTGGCGTATCAACCGACCGGACATCGGATCTGAATGCACCGGAATACCATAGCCGACGACGATGAAAGAAGCTGGAGTGTGACCGGATTGGCCGGTCGCGTCCGATCATGTGACTCCGGTCGAGGTCGGTACTTAATTTGAAAATGGGTGTTCAGCGTCCGGCCGTTGAAAGGTCCGGTCAAGTCAAGTGACCGTTGAATTTACCGGACGCTGAGGTAGTCCGGTCAACACGACCGGAGCGTCCGGTCGGCCCGATGCCCGATGAAGGGGTAACGGCTAGTTTAGCCCTTGGGGCTATAAATAGAAGTGGCCCTCGGCCATGGCGGTGTCTTGAGCACCTCAAGGGACTTAGTGTCCATGCTTGTGAGTGCTTGGGCCCTCCATCACACATATACTTGATAGTGATCATTCGATTGTGTGAGTGAGCGATTCTAGTGCGATTGCATCGTGAGGTTGCATCGAGTGGCACTAGGTGGTCGTGTTGCAAGCCGGTGGTGCTTGTTACTCTTGGAGGTTGCCACCTCCTAAGTGGTGGTCTCCATCGAAGCCCGCAAGAAGAAGCTTGTGCGGCGCTCGGAGAAGTGCTTGTGAGGGGTACTTGTGCTCGCCCAGCTGCTGGAGTCGCGA